AGGACATGGTTTCTGGGACTGCAGTGCTTGATTGTGCCGAATGGAGCGAAGAGGTGGTGCTTCCTTCAGTTGGGGTGGACTCTGCATGAATAGAAGAACTCGTGCCGTGGGATGCAATGGTGGTCTCCGAGGGAGACGATGGCGGCGAGGTCCGAGCCGGAGAGGATACAGTCTGCATGGAAAGAGACGTGGCCAGGGGTGACTCGGATGCTGGTGAAGCTGTTTTGGTCACTTCTGCTGAGGTCAGCTCAGCCTTCGTGGGAGAAACCTTGCTGAAGGTTTGCGTAGTTTGATTTTCAAGAGACGTGAAGCCAGTCTCCACAGTGGAATGCGGCCTCATCGGGGTGGATCCGGTCACCTCAATAGTCGAAGTTCTCAGCTTAGCAGCCGTAGGAGATGTTGCCGAAGAGAGGGAAGGGCTGGTCCCCTCAGCTGCTGTTGATTCGACCCTGGCTGGAGGACTGGCAGACCGGAAGGAGACGGTGGTTTCCTCGGTAAGGGCAATGGAAGAGTGGTCAGTGGAAGGGGAAAAAGTTGGCGTAGAAACGGTGGTGCCTCGGGCAGAGCTCACCTCCGGTTTCGTTGTGGAAGAGCCAGAAGGCGGGGGTTGAGTTGTTGTCTCCTGCCGTGAGGTTCCTTTCGGCTGCATGGAAGAAGAGGGGGCAATGGAGGGACTGGTTTGTTCCAGGGCGGAGGTTAGCTCAGTCATGCCAACAGCAGCGGTCGTGGTGACAATAGAGGCTACCGACTCTGCGGAGGACATGGTTTCTGGGACTGCAGTGCTTAAGTGTGCCGAATGGAGCGAAGAGATGGTGCTTCCTTCAGTTGGGGTGGACTCTGCATGAATAGAAGAACTCGTGCCGTGGGATGCAATGGTGGTCTCCGAGGGAGACGATGGCGGCGAGGTCCGAGCCGGAGAGGATACAGTCTGCATGGAAAGAGACGTGGCCAGGGGAGACTCGGATGCTGGTGAAGCTGTTTTGGTCACTTCTGCTGAGGTCAGCTCAGC